CATTACCACCACCCAGCTTAGCCTGTGCCTATTCCCACTGTCACACTGCTTCCCTTTGTTCTTCACAGTGCTTTTAACCATCTGAAATCAGATTAAAAACTTTGAGCAAAACACTAAAGGAATTTGGAAGTTTAAACTTTAAGAAAGGGTTGAGAACTGAGCCAGTGGTCTCCTAGTCATATCACTGTAGCCAACTCTATTTCATGTAGAATTTCTTGTTAACTTATAATAGCTGAGCATGTTGAACCGTAACTTAAAATAATTGAGCATGTTTTGAACAGTAATACATGCTACTGCATCTGCTTGTTTGCACTGAATGGGAGATGTTTGGTGTATCCCTGCTGTTGCTGGGCCCAGTGAGTCAGTAATCTAAATGGCCCCAGTGCTAAGGAGCTGTGTGCTACCTTTGGAGTTGTGAACCTCCCTGGTGGCTCAGAACACAATGACTAAAGTCCATTTTCTGTCTGTATTTGGGAAATGAATTTGCTTTGTCATCCTCCATTCCTGCTTCCTGCCAGGATTCTAGCTTGCGACTTTCAGTTTCACTTTGGACTTTAAACCTTTTTTTAAAAAATCTTTTTCTTGCTGAATTGTCTGTACAGTACAAGCACAAATAAACAGTTATGTTGGTTTGGCTGTGGGATGAGTTGGGATGTATGAAAAGATTTGAGAAGGGGGTGGATCTGTCTGGGTAGGCTAGCTTGACTTGTCCACTTGTTAGTGTTTCTACTTGGTCTTGAAGTTCAATTTGCTGTCAGGCAGAGTAAGTGAAGCAGTGAAATATGACACAGGCTGGGGATGAAAATTGGCAATTGTCCTGCGTGCACAAATAGTTTCTGCCCTCCCAAACATATTTTATAGCCAAACGAACAGAAAACAATTGAGAAGGCTACTTGTTAGAGACATATAGCAGACAAATAACCTCTACAAAAAGGTGGACACATAGCTTTTACAAGGTTTTCTGAATAACAAAATGTATAATAGGCTATTTTTCTCTCTCCCATTTAACCCCTGATCCTTAATTATAAGACTGAGGCCAGGTGTGTTTCTAAGCCTGTTGGTGGGAGGTAGGAGCTGGATTTCTCCAATTTTAACTGATCATACTTTCTTCACTTTTTATTAGTCAGCAAGATTAAGGAAGTTGCTGGAAAGCCTTCTTATTGAATGGTCAGGCATACAGGCAGTTTAGCCCTTCGCCCAGTTCTGCTTTATATAAATTTTAGCTAGCGTACACAAACAGGGAGTTTGGTAGTTGAGTAATCCAGTTATTACTAATATGACAGGCCACCATTGCATTGCTTGATCTGAGGTAGCTGCTCTAAATATAACCTTATTTCTGGCAGCTGCAAAAACCTGGAGGAGCATGCAGGCCCCCAGCAGAAAAGTATTTGCTGTTAATAGTATATCTGTTGTACAGTTGTATACTGTCAAGCTTGTTTCATGCTATGGTTATGCATAATTAAAAACAACCCACTGGATCCTTTGGCTTAAGCTTGGACTATGTTTAGAAAAATGCAGTTTGTGTTGTCTACTGTGGGGACTGGGGATGATGTCACTAGTTTGAGTAAGACCATAAGAGAAGCAGTTAATGTAATTACCAACGATTTCTTTGATCTCTAATGAACACAGCTTACTTAAACCCCTTAAGTGGACTTGGTTTCTGGCACTGATATACCAAGCTGTCCATCATTTTCAGTTGGGCTCTCTGGTTTGTGTACTGGGTAGTTTTTTTTTTTTTTTAAACATATTCTTTTTTTTTTTTTTAAAGATTGATTTATTTATTTATACAAGCACTGGGTACAGTCAGAAGCGCGGGAGGGTAAGAGGATTCACCAGAGCCAGAGCAGGCAGAAGGACAGAAGTACACTGCTGAGGGGAGCAGCGGGCGGCAGGAGAGGTCTCCGCGCCATGTGGGACCCTCACCCGGTGGCCAGGTTGCAGCCATGGATCGAACCAGCGCTGCAGAGGCTGCGGGCAGTTTCGCAACCCAGCGCTCAACCGCTGCGCCACCAGGGAGGCCCTGGGTAGTTTCTTTTGACATAGACTGTTTATGAATAATTAAAAAGAACATCAACATTCACAAATAGACGCTTCAAAAAGAAATGACGCTTAAACATGTAAAAGATACTTAACTTTTTTGTGAAAAGAGAAAACCATATTTAAGACCTCACCAAGATCATCAGACTGACAAAAATCTGAAATGATAGAGAAACAGTATAAATGAACAGGTAGGGAAATAAACACTCTCCTACATTCTTGGCAGTAGCATTCATTAAGTATCCAACTTTTATTGAATCTTAGATATATCTAAACTTTGACCCAGCAGTATCACTAATAGGTGTTTATCCCTCTGGTGTGTACTTAAGTTTATTTGTGGAAGAATTAAAGATTGGAAACAAACTCAAAAGTGGACTGGTTAAAAAAAGAAAAGTAGACTAGTTACATAAATGGTGGTGTATTTTTACAATGGCTATAACTTAAAAAAAAAGGAAGATACTCACTGTACACATAGAAGTGTTTTCATGAGAGCTAAAAGACACTTCTCCAAAGAGGAAATGCAGATGGCCAACAGGCACATGAAAAAATGCTCAACAGTCACTTATAATCAGGGAAATGCAAATCAAAACCACAATGAGGTATCACCTCACACCGGTAAGAATGGCCCACATTAAAAACTAACAAATGCTGGCAAGGATGTGGAGAAAAAGGAACCCTTTTACATTGCCGGTGCAAATGCAAGCTGACCCAACTACTATGGAAAGCTGTGTGGAGGACCCTCAAATTACTAAAAATAGATCTGCCCTATGACCCAGCAATTCCACTTCTAGGAATCTACCCAAAGGACACAAAAACATTAATTCAAAAGGAAACTTGTACCCCTGTGTTTACTGCAGTACTATTTACAATAGCTAAGATGTGGAAACAACCTAAATGTCCAAAAACAAATGACTAGATCAAGAAGATGTGGTATATATACACAGTAGAATATTACTCAGCAATCAAAGATAAATTCATGCCATTCAGAGCAACATGGATGGAGCTGGAAGGGATTATGCGCAGTGAAACAAGTTAGAAGGGAAAAGAAAAAATACTGGATGATTTCACTTATAGCAGGTATATAGGAAAACCAAACAAGGGGTAGGGAAAGAAGAAAAAAGACGACAAAACTGGCAGGCAAACTATAAATCAGGAGGCATACAGCAGGGGAGGGGGAGGGAGAGGGATCAAAACGGGGGTGGGGAAGGCACAAGAGACTGTGGTGATGGTTCACCCGTGACTTGGTGGTGGGAATTTTAGGATTATGCCAAGAGGAAAAATCAAACATACAAAAATGAACGACAGTGTTAAAAAAAAAAAGTATATATTTAAATATATTTAATTTAAAAAATAAAAAAAGGCTACATGATTAAATTACTGTTTTTTAAGTTGTCTGTCAATCGTTTATATGTCTGTATCACTCGGGGGTTATGTTTTTACTCCCCTGTATGTACACATGCTTTGCTCACCCATGATATTTATTTAAATGTCATCCTTTTTTACAAGAGATTAAAGCATTGTGTATAGTATGCTACTTATTATGTAAAAAAGGGGAGAATTAAGAATATATGCTATTTGCTTCTTTTTTTAAAAATTAAGATTTGTTTTTAATTTATCTTTTAAAGATTTATTTCTGCATACAAGAACTGGGGTGTAAGCCAGTCGTGCGGGGGGTGAGAGGATTCACCAAAAGAGAGTGGGGGACAGAACAGGCAGATCTACTGAAATACACTGCTGAGGGGAGCAGTGGGCAAGACAGGCCAGTCTGCTGCGCCACGTGGGTTGCTCCCTGGCTGGGCAGGAATTGAACTCACGTTGCAGTGGCTGGCGATAGCTTAATAGCGCTAAGACTCCCCTGTGCCACCAGGGAAGCCCTATTTTTATTTATTAATGCATATAAAAACTGGAATGTAGGCCAGAGGTGTTGGGGGGGAGGGGTGAAAGGATTCACCAGAGACAGTGGGGAACAGAACAGGCAGATCTACTGAAATACACTGCTACAGGGAGCAGCGGATGAGACAGGAGAGGTCTACTGAGTCATGTGCATTAGCTTCCTGGCCGGGGATCGAACCCATGCTGTATTGGCTGGCGATAGCATGATAGCACAAGACTTCAACCCTTGCATCATCAGGGAGGCCCTGCTTGTATGTTTTAAGAAGTTCTGGAAGGATATTTATTTATTTTTTAAAGATTGATTTATTTATGCATACATAAATACAGGCCAGAGGTCTGGATGGTGAGAGGATTCACCAGAGACAGAGTGGGGAACAGAACAGGCAGATTGACTGAAATATACTGCTGAGGGGAGCTGCGGGCAAGCCAGGAGAGGTCTGCTGAGCCATGTGGGTAGCTCTCTGGCCGGCTGGGGGATCGAACTTGTGCTGCAGTGGCTGCGGATTGCTTCATAGGTTGTGTCTTAACCCTTTGCGCCACCAGGGAGACCCCCGGAAGGATATTTAAAGAAGTCATATTACTTAAAGAAGTAATATGATTGATATCTGTGTGTATGTATTTTGGAAAAGGAGATAAATGGATACTTTAACTGTGAAATATTTTGAACCATGTACATTACTTTCTCAAAAAAATTAGAATGTTTTAAAAAATGTAGCTTTTTTGCATTTTAGTTGTCTTTGTAGAAAAGCTGTCTTTTAGTTTACTTCCCTAGCCATACTTTCTGTTTGTTTGTGTGAGAGGGAGATTTCCTCATATTGCTGCTGCTGATGCTAATGTTACTTTCTCTGTGGGCACCTTGGGAAGAAAGTGGTGATACACAAGTTTGCTCGACCTGGTAGTGGTTTTTCCTGTTGTTATTCAACCAGAATCAATAACTGAAGAGTATTTACATACCATGAACTTTAAGATCCTTAACAAATCTTAAGGACCAGACTTGTTATTTGACAACTAGGGTAATATATACTCTGGACAGCACTGAAGTGTTTTTTATTTTTCTCTTTTCTTTGTAGGAACCTACAAGCAGCAATTGGCGCCTATTATGACTTTGAGAGCCCAAACATCAGTGTGCCCTCCATGTCTTTTGTTGAAGATGTCACCATAGGAGAAGGGGAGTCAATACCTCCTGATACTCAGTTTATAAAAACATGGCGGATCCAAAATTCTGGTAAATGTATAATGGGCAGTTCTTCCTTCCTAGGTTTTTCTTAATAGTTGAAAGAAATAAAAAGGAAATGTTTTATTTTACATTATGTGATTATGGCAGCTCTTTGTTGTTATACATGATGTAGCCTTTGTACTGGCATGATGGATAACCAAACATCAGTGAAATATCCCTGGCCATAGATTGGAAAGAATAATTTAGGTTTTGATAGCATCAGCATTATTCACTATCCACCTGATGCTAGGAACTAGGCATGTGTGTGGTGATAGGGCTGTCTCTACCTGTACAGTTCTACTCCATCATTTTAATTCCGCTCTAATTAATCATCCGGTCATTTCCAGCAGGCTAGACAAGGTGTATCCTTGAATAGAACAAGGTAGTTAGAAAGAGCTGTGAGCATCTGCTCTTTTGAAAGCTCTTTTCTCTGCAACCATAAAGATGATTCTCTCTGAGATTTCCTTGAGGTATCTATTTAAGATGTTAATACCACTTTGAAAAATAGGGTAGGAAATGTGGGGATTTGCTCAGAGTGGGAAAGATGGAAAGAGAAAAAAAAGAATATTGTTCTGATGTACTACTGACTTTAAGGAAAATGAAAAATATATGTTAAGCTTATTTCTTTGAAAACAGTATCTGAATGTCTGGTAACTTAATTATTAAAATGTTAGAACAGAAATTATGTTCTAATGAGTTTTTGAGTAGCTTTAGTATTCCTTCTCGTGCTGACTGGGTGACGTTGCTTTGATTTCTTTGCTAATGATGACCTGCAGGAAAATTCAGAGATGGTAAACGAGGCAAAAAGGAGTACTTAGCTAAAAATGTGTGGGAATAGGTATAAAATGGTGGAAAGTCGAATCTGATCCCTACAAAGCCTGGCTTTCCCTTTTATTAGGACAAAATCTGTGTTGGTGGGCCTGGCCACTCTTTCCTCCTGGTTTTGGTTAGTAACTCCAGCTAAAAACTTGTGGGTGTACCTGTAGAGCAAGGCAATCTGATAGAAAATTCTGGATGCTCAACAAACCGGTCATAGTCACCTTTTATTGACTGTTTTCTTTTTAGTTCTTTATGCTTCAATTCTTCTGTGATGGGGAATGATTTGTAAGGTAGCCTTTTATGTAATAATTAATGTACCAAATTTTTCTTCTTAGTTTTTCTGTTTTTCTTCTAGGGCAGAAGTTTAGCATGTCACTGAGCAAATGGACATAATCTGAATTTACTCAGTGTTGTAGATGATTGGGTATATCTGTGGCTTTGTAAAATTTCATTAGCTTCTTTTCCCTTTTGGTTATAACCATGTAGTACATTGTTAGGCACCTGTTGATAAGGGAAAAATAGTCATATTTTCTATTTTTCTTAAAATTCCTGTTCAGAGTTTATCTTTGCCTTTTTTTCCCTCAGTGTTGCTTTTAAAATATTAAAACAATTTTAATTTAGCTTCTAGTGATGATATTTCTTATATTAAAACCTATTTTTGATCAACAGTGGTTTTGAAATCTATTCTTGAGTTTTTTGATAATCAACAGTTGTTTAGAAAGTGTAACTCCTTTATTTATTTAAAAAAATTAGTGTTTACTTATATGAAAACACAGAAAATGGTCTGACTTCCCATAGATTCTTTATAATACTTTTAAATATAGAAAATCATTAGAGCCCTGTTGACATGTTTCAGATACTGTCTTGTTACAGAATAACCATTTTGTATTTTAGAAAGTGTCTTGATATATTCATTATATTCTATATATTCTATTATTTATAGAATGATTTATTCTATATTTTCATATAGAAAGTGATATATTCTATATATTCATATAGAAAGTGTCTTGATATATATATATATGTCTTGTCTATTCATTGGGTAGACAAGTTCTTGTGTTAATGGGGACATTTGAGATCCCCAAAAGACAGCTTGAGTTAGAGATAATCTGTATTGGTGAGCGTGGTTGCCTTCTCCTCCTTTTGCTTAGTAACTCCAGTTTAAAACAGCCTCTGGGCCGTCAGCCTTTCTTCCTGTACAAGGACATTCATATTCCTGAACACCTCTTAAACAGTTGGACAATAGTTGCTAGAGATTTTACCTTTCAAGGTACTTTGTACAGATTGGTTTTTTTGATTCGCGAAATTGTTCAACCATTTGTAGGATTTTTATCTATAAACTAAACGCTTTCCTTTTGAACAAGGAGAAACTGGCCTCATAACTAATAACAGGTATCTTATTAAAGAGGGAGGGAAAACATGCATATGCACTGGTTCTTTGGTATCATGCTAATCTGGCCTGAGTTATTTCTGGAAATAGAGGAGTAATTCACAAGTTGGCTTTTTCTCCTTTGGCGTTCTTACTTACTCTCATACATAATCTTCCCTAAGAGACAAGTCCTTGCTGAGTTTCATAATTATCTTTCATAAATTATCTTTCATAATTATCTTTCTTTGCTATCATGTTTTAGGCATGCTAGAAAATCACATACACGGTGGATAAGATAAGAACTGCATAATTTTCTCAACAGCTTCCCCAAAGAAGATAAGTTTCACATATTGTTTAAAATTCAACTAATACTGCCTTAATCCTTAGATTTGGACTATAAAATACAGAAACAATACAATTAATGACATAGATGCAGTATCCTAGAATTCAAACTTTTGCCACTAATTAAGTAGTAGGAACTTGAGTGGAAACCTTACAGTGGAGTTCAGAGTGAAAATTTGAAATTGTCCCTCAGAAGATAAGTAGACAGTTCTTTTTACCAGCATTTACAAGTTCTCAATTGCTACTGAGCATGTTCCTTCGTGTTGTCCAACTAGATAGTGAATCTATGACTGTGCATGTTAGAACTCTGGTGTTTCTCTACTTTGATAAAGTTGTTGTAATTGGTGCCATATGAGTGATTTCAGAGTCATCTTTATTTTTTGAACTACATACAGTGAGTATAAAACAAGAGCTGGGCAAAGAACTTGAGAAAGAAGTACTATTTCCCCCATTTTTCATTTGGCTTCTTAAAATAGTTAATTCTACCTTTCATTCAGTATGACTGTAGAGAAGATAATTCTGCTTCATTCATTTGACAAATTATGTTATCTTTCAGGCACTTTAACAGGTACAGGGGAAAATGGTATCAAGATTAGTGAAGGTGTCTGTTTTTAGGTAACTTAACTTGAGATGCATTCTCCAAATTCATAGGAATTAAAAAGATAGGTGATCATCTTCAGTGAGATTTGTCTTCTGCATTGCTTTTTGGATGTTCCTTATATTCCGTCTCCAAACTTTCTGTAATCACGTAACACCTAGTGAGCTTCAGACTTTCTAGAACAGATTGGCTAGTCTTTCGTTCTTGCAATGCTCTTTATCTCAAAATTGTCATGTGACAGTGTTTGTTTTGTTTTTACTTTTAATTTTTTTTAAATTTAAATGAAGATACATTCTTTTTTTTAAAAAAAAGATTTATTTATTTTTATACAAGAGCTGGGGTACAGGCCAGAGGTGCGGGAGGGTGAGAGGATTCACCAGAGACAGAGCGGGGAGCAGAACAGGCAGACGACCGAAATACACTGCTGAGGGGAGCAGCGGGCGCGACAGGAGAAGTCTGCCACACCATGTGGGATTGTCGCCAGCCGGCCAGGAATCGAATCCACGCTGCAGGGGCTGCGGACAGCTTCACGAGCTGCGCTCAACCTGCTGCGCCACCGGGGAGGCCCTAAGATACATTCTTAATTTAAAATAGTTATATTCCATGATGACTGGAGAATCACAACCTTTAATCATATGTGTGCTTGTGAGATTTAACATGGAAAGTCATTAAACAGATTAGTTTTTATTTTCTTCTAGCTATATGTATCCACCATTAAGCTAGTTTGTAACTAAGACCTATTTTGACGCTCTGTTGTGTTACGCTTCCAAATGTAGATTTCAGGTATACTTGTCAAACTGCGCACCAGTTCAAATATCATGCCAGTATTTCCCTTCCTTCAACATAAAGAATTATCTTTGACCTTTTCAGAGTTAACTGACCTAAAAGTTGTGGTTGTAACAACTCTGTGTCATAGTAAGCTATTGGTAACGCTCAGAAAACAAGTGATTAGTTCTTCACTTCATAGCAAATTAGTACCTTAGAGTTGGTGGTGGATGACTCTTCTAATTTTCCCTTCAAGATGGTCTACAAGTACCACATTAATAGAGTATCTAGAGGACCAAAAAGATCAGGACCATAGCCAGATAATTTAATGTTACTCATATAGCATTTCACTAGGTAACTCAGTCTCTCTGGTATATAATAGCATTCCCTCTTCTGCCCAGATCATACACCCAACCATCTTGGCTGCCTGTGGCTGGCTGTCTCCTTAGGAAAGCCAAGTATTTTGTATACCCACCCAGTCTTGGTTTTCCTTATTTTCTTAGAAGTTTAAAGACAGACATGTTCTTAGGTTTTCGTATAGATGGATATTGTCTATACAATGTGTGTGTGTATTAAAAAATAATTGTGAATTCAGCCTGATAATAGTTTAATTTTCCCTTTGGATCTTGGTCTTTAAAAAGACTAACATTTTCTAAGGTGTTTCACATCAGCTGCTACTGTTCTTGACCTGAGGAAAATGTTTTTGTCAGGCCAGAGGCCACAGAAAAACAGAATTTGCAAGTGTTGCTAGTATATCATCACAACCTTTCCACCAGCAGCTCTTGCCCTTTATGGTGTTAAGAGGTACATTGGTGGCAAATTGTTTTTAAAGAAGGTAAGACAAAAACATAGTGTCTGAAAAACAGACACCTTCACCCGCTAATCCTTAAGACCCAAGTGCTGCAGAGGGGTCTGTTCATAATGAGGCTAAGATCTCAGCAGTAGAATTCTGGTTGCTTTTCCCTCTGGTTCCCTTTTCAGTAGTAAACTATCAGGTATATCAAAACCTGCCTGGCACCAAGGTATCCTAGAGTACTATTGGGAGCTAAATTTCAAGCTTGCTGTATCTTGAGAATTCTGCCGTGTCCAGCTTTCATAGTGATTTATTTTCGTAATGAATGCCTCCCCCCAAAAGATAAATACATAGAGGTTCCTGTCTACAGTAAAAAGGAATATATTGGATAGACTTTGCAGGAAAGATGACATCTAGTCACTGTATCTATTTTGAATTAGTTTACGTGAAAATAGATACACAGAAATAGTAGTTGCCAAACAAGATCTTTGCCACTTCTAGCTGAGGACTTTTCCTGCCAAAGCCATTTCTCCATTGCCATGCCTGTCCTTTCTACAAGCATATCTGACTGAGACCACAGTGCGTTGATATCATCCGTGGAGGTGACCCCATATTCTCCATATTTTCCCACGCTGTTTGAACCTGAAAACAAAAAATTTTGCTTGTATGTCTGATTTTGCTGAGTCTTTTGAGCCTCAGAGGTCCTCAAGATTCCTTAAAGACTCTAGAAGAAAAGTCATGCATCAGGGAAAAGACAGGGTTTTTTTTTTTTTGTTTTTTAAAAAGCAGCTTTTAAATGAAAATAATGAAAAAATTGCTTCTCATGTGTTTCATCCTCTTGCCTCAATGGGAAAACTGGGGACAATTAAATATATTTTTACTTTGGATGTCAGTTTTAAAAGTTCGAGTGAAAATGGGCATGTGTTGCCCTTAGTAGAGAACACAGCCCTCCAGAGAAGTAGGCCTGTTCTTCATTTCCATGACTCTTTTTTTTTTTTAAAGATTTATTTATTTATGCATACAAGAACTGGCGTACAGGCCAGAGGTGCGAGGGGTGAGAGGATTCACCAGAGACAGAGGGGACCAGACAGGCAGGCTGACTGAAATACACTGCTGAGGGGAGCAGCGGGCAAGTCAGGAGAGGTCTGCTGTGCCATGTGGGTAGCTCCCTGGCCGGCTGAGGATCGAACTTGTGCTGCAGTGTCTGCGAATAGCTTCATAGGTTACATCCTAACCCCTTGTGCCACCACGGAGGCCCCATCTCCATGATTCTTTGCACACATCATTCTTAGGTTCTGTAGGTCCCTGTGATGCGCGGCTTTCTCTGGGGTCATCTGGAACACAGCTTCTTGAGGAACTGCTTTGCCTTTGCTTGTATTGCCTTCTCTTAGGAATAGACTATTGATATAAGTTGTTTCTTATAATTCTTTGCAATCAGGTATGTGAGATTGTTAGGTAGTTCAAGGATATGTGAGTAGGTTTACATATGTATGAGAGACAGAGATACCTCTTCTGCAGTTTTGTAATGACCTACACCCAGCATAGGACCACAAATTGCCTAACATTTTTTTCTTTTGCTTGAACTCAGGGGCAGAGGCCTGGCCTCCAGGGGTTTGTCTTAAATATGTCGGGGGAGACCAATTTGGACATGTGAACATGGTGATGGTGAGATCGCTAGAACCCCAAGAGATTGCAGATGTCAGCGTCCAGATGTGCAGCCCCAGCAGAGCAGGAATGTATCAGGGACAGTGGCGGATGTGCACTGCTACAGGACTCTACTATGGAGGTGAGTATGTCCTTGTGCAGCCCAGGGCGAAGGAATTAAAAGTAACATCATAGAGCAAAATTGCTCACAGAGCCTGTCAAATGACACAGGAGGGTGTGACTTCTTTTAAATAGTCACGCCATGGGAGTAATGACTTGAATTTAATGACTGCCTAATTGGTTCAGTCTAGTACACTCCCTTTTACACTACAAATTTAGTTAAAATTTAGTGAAGTGTATGAGTTATGTTTTACATTCTAACAATGATTTTGTAGTGCTGCTGCTTTTAATATCCAGTAGGTGCTGTAAGAATACTGGAGACAGTCCTTGTTCTCATAGTCTTTAGACACAAATCAGAAAACAGGTTAATGCCTAAAATGTGCATACTTTCCCAACTTGTCAAACTGCTGATTGTCATTCTCTCTCTTGCCAGGTTTTTTGAGCAGAGTGATCTATACTCGTTGTCTTCTCTCATTTTCCATTTATTCTTCAACCTAATCTATCCTTTACCCAACCCAGTGAAAGTTTATTAGTGACTACTCAGTTTCCAAACCCAGTGGCCACTTTACAATCTTCTTACTGCCTGGCCCTCTGTCGTTTGGTACCCTATTACCAGTGTGTTTTGAAATGTCTGCTTTCCTAGATTCACATGACACTTCTCTTGTTTCTGCTCTTCCTCTCCTCCTCCTCTGGATGTTCTTTCTCTGTCTAGTCACATGTTTTCCCCAGGATTACTAGATTCCACTCTGGGTCCCATTCATGGTCAGTGACTTCATCCACCCACATGGCTTCAGTTGTCACCAGTGTCTCTCAAATTCATATCTGTGGCTCTTCTTTTGGGGACTTCTAAACCTGTGTTTTAACTTTTTATAGACAGAATGCATGGCTATTCAGTAGATTTTTGAATTTTGACATCTCCCAGACAAAGCTTCCATTTTTCTTATCAGTATTCCATGGCTCCACTGAGATGATTAGGCCAAAAACCTTGTTGTCATCTTTTGTTCTTTTTTATCATTCTTAATCAGAAATAAATTCTTACTCTACTATATCCCATCTCTGAGAGATTTAAAAATAAATAGTTCTGCTCTCTGAGCACTCTTAACTGGACTCCTAGCCAGTAGGACCTTTGGAGTTACTTCAAGGGGTCTTGGAATTAACATCTGTAGCCAGTGGAAACTTACAACATTTTTACAGCCTCAAAATTTTTAATACTACAAAGGATATCTTAACAGTGCTTATGTGACATTATTTTTTGCCTAAAATTGTTACACCTACTGTCATGAAGCCAAACTCCTTGGCACCAGCTTAATGCTCCTCATGATCTGACCTGTCCTCCTTTTCAGTTTTATATTCTCTCACCTCCTGTTGCCCCACACCTGGTCCCCAAAGACACCACATGCTTTCACTTCTTTCATGTCCTTGCTCATGTTTCCATTGCCTGAAATATCTCTTTCTTTCTAGCTGGCTCCTGTTTATTCTCAGAGCCCTAATGAAGCCACTTGTCCTTTCCTTCCCCCTTTGCTTTTTCTCCTCAGTGCCCCAAGGAAATTCGTCTCTCCCTTTTTCATTAATATTATGCACATGCTTGTTATTATACTTGCTTATTTGTTTGTTTATCCTTTTCTCTTACTAGACCACAAACTGTTTGTTGAATAACAAATGAATGTGTACTCTTATATCAGAATGAAGAGATTCTAGAGTATATTTTCAGATCACCCCTCCTAAGAATCTTCTTTCCTGAACATTTGGAAGTAATTTCTCCCATTGGGTTCTCTCTTCTCACTTCTTTGCCTCTCTTTAGCACTTCTTTTACCCAGTTTATTTGATTTTATCTCATACTGTCTTTAAAACTAAAGATGGTACAGAAATCATTTATCTTTGTAACTCTTCAAAAAGTTGAGTCCAATGCGGATTGGAGTAACTGCTCAGTAGGTTTTTTTTAATGAATGTCAGCATTTTTATGGGAGGAGGGTAACAGCATAAATGACTTAAAAAAAAATCCCTTTGATGCAAAGATATTGCTTCATAACATTTTCCAGTGTTTGAGAGCTATAGTCATGTTTATAAAGACTTCATAATACAAAGTTTGTTTTCAGTGTTAAATTAAAAATATCATTATGTGCAACACTAAATTTGTTACTTGTAACATCCCTCTCTAATACTAGAGGTAGGTAGAGTAAATGTACTAGCTTTGGAGGCATTAAAGAGTTTAAAGTCTTTTTGATCTTATACTCTGTAAGTTGTTTCTTAGGACTTTGAAATCTAATCCTTCAAGGGATCTTAATAATTCATCTGATTCTATGGTTTCTAAGCGTTTTTCTTAATAAGTAGAATGCTTTCCTTGAAAAAGCATATTGAATGACCCTTCCAAGAAAGGGAAGAGATAAAAATGAAACTGGTTTTGTTGCATCTGGAGCCTCCTTCACCTGTGCTGGCCTGCTCTCTGAGAGGACCTCCAGGGCTCTCTGAACTGTATTTGCAAATCCTTCATTTGCTCTAGCAAAGAATGTAGTTCTGTTTTACAAACTGCTGTATTTCATTGAATCCACATTTCTGTTGATTATAAAACATATTCTAACAGATTAATCAATAAAACAGTTTAGTATATATAGCTATATAGTATGCACACACACGTGTGTGCATACACATACAATAGAATATTTAAACCCAAAACAAGGGAAACCTGCCATTTGTGACATCTTGGTTGGACCTTGAGGGCTTTATGCTAAGTGAGATGAGTTACAGAAAGACACTCTATGATATCACTTACCTGTGGATTCTTAAAAAAAAGAAAAGGAAAAAAAACTTGGAAAAAGATCAGATTTTGCTGAGGTGGGTGGCGGGGAGGGTAATTTGGACAACGTTGCTTAAACGGTACAAACTTGCAATTACAGGATAAGTCAGCACTAGGGAGCTATGTTGACTATAGCTGACACTGCTGTGTGATATATAGCCAAGTTGTTACGAGGGTAAATCCTAAGATTTCTCATCACTAGGGAAATTTTTTTCTTCTGTGTTTTGCTTTCTCTTTTGACTATATCTATATGAGATGATGGATCCTAACTAAATTTATTGTAATCATTGCACACTATGTGTTATGTCAAAACATTATGCTGTATAGTGATATATGTCAATTATATCTCAATACTAGAGATAAAACACATCTTGGTAGCAGAAATGTTAACTAAACGTCATGAAGTGAATATAATACACATGAAACCACACTGTGAACATGTGGGGAAAAAATAAACTGCCACATTGATCATGCTTATTCTTTGCACTTTTTCTGCTCATTTTTAGCTTGATAGCTCTTGGAGTGTAGTAGGGCGGTGTTAGCAATGTAGGACTTGGATACCTGGGCCCAAATTTAGAAAAATTAGCTACTTCTCTGTGCCTCATCTTTCTGTTTTAACAAAGCTTGTGTTTTGTTTTTGGTGGGATGGTCTCTTCTATAGTCTTTATTAGATGGTCTTCTCTAGAGAAAATCAGTCCTTTCTTTTAATAACGCTTTTGTTGTTTTAACTTATTTCTCTTTCCCAGAAGAATTTTTGCTATAGAATTGACCCTTGAACCAACTCATAGGTTTGGGGTTCCAACAGGTCCTGCCACTATCAGAAATCCACATGTAATTCTACCCCTGTCACATTACTGATTGAGATGCATCTGCAAATTCAGTGAATCAGCATTGGTTCATCGACTTGATTGAGTTCTATTATTGGCAGATTTACTTTCAAACCCTAATTTTTTATTTTATCCTCTTTTTTCTGACTTAGGCTTCTTAGACCTTAAACCGACTTGTTACCTAATATATACAGTATGTCAGACATTGTATTGGACTTTTTGCATTATAAATTACTTTATTAAGGAATGTTAACTACATATTATGCATGAGGAACCTGTCAGAGAGAATTTGTGTTTGTCTAAGGTTTAGTAAAGGTTATTATCCATAAGTTATAGTAGTTGTTAACAAAAGTGGTTTTATAATCTTTGTCATTAATTTATAATCTTTGTCATTAATTTGACACTTCACTACTGCATGGAGTTCACAAGGAAACTTTTGTTTCCAGGTTATTGATACTTGTTAGGGTCTGGTGAGGGTTAGGGTTTGGTGGTCCCCAAATCCTCTCCATTTTCAGAGTATGAGAATGAGGATGGGGTTCGACATTGTTGGGGGTGACAGGTAGTTGGGTAAAGATCACTGTTTTCTAAGGAGCTCTTGTCTACTACTAGAGACAAGTTTCCTGAAGGACAATGGATTCTTAAGATGGGGTACACTGCATGAGTGTGGTCCGTGTTGGCCTTGATTACAACAGTACATGCATTCTCTTCCCCTGGTAGAGCTCACTCTTAACAGAATTCCACAGGAGAGATTTACCCTGCACTGGGATGGCTCCTTCTAAATCGAGGAGTCCTTATTACGCAGTAAAGTAAGATCAGGTGATATTCTGGTTATCACATGGTGCTGAGGGTTTTTTCCACTTAAAATAGCTCTTCTTGTTAAATACTTTGTATGAGTCCCTAAGGACATTCACATAGGGTAGATTAAATACATATGCATTATTCATTTAGTTTCTCAGAGGTTAGAAATGGAACTTTCCTTATTAAATTCCCAAACCCCTGTTTGTCCCACAGTTAAGCTAGGAAGCATATTGGGTGCTTATAAATCACATTATTTCCTAAAGCCTTTCTTAGTTTTTCAGCTGCTCTGTTTTCCTGAATGTTCTCCCTAGGATGGTGGTGTGGGATTGTCCCTCCTCATTCTATGTTCTAACAGAAACTCTGGATTTATTTATCTATTTATTTATTTATTTGTGGGACCCTCACCGGTGGCCGGGGAACGAACCTGCGCTGCAGAGGCTGCAGGCAGCCTTGCAGCCCAGCGCTCAGCCCCTGCGCCACCAGGGGAGACCCCAGAAATTCTGGTTTTAAACGGACTTCCTGTAGCATCTACACAGGTGTCTTTTATTTGGATGCTGTGATACTTGGCATTTCGTCAGGTTTTTTGCCCTTTTGCCTATTAAC